TCTTCACCCAAGGAGTGATGAACACATGGAATTCACTGCCACAGGAGGTGGTGGTGGTGGCTACAAGCATGGACAGCTTCAAGAGGGAATTAGATATGCATATAGAGCAGAGGTCCATCAGTGGCTATTAGCCACAAGGTATAGATAGGAACTCTCAGTCTGGGGCAAGTGATGCTCTGTCATCTTGGTGCTTGGGTGGGGGTAGGTCAACAGTGGGAGGGCTTCTAGTGTCCTCCTGGCCCCACTGCTGGACCTCCTGATGGCACCTGGTATTTTTGGCCACTGTGTGACAGAGTGTTGGACTGGATGGGCCATTGGCCTGATCCAACCTTGGCTTCTCTTAGGTTCTTATGTAGGCGCCTGAGACTGCTGGTCCATCGAGCCTGGTCTTGTTCAACAGTGGCAAATGGCACAGACCTTCTGCATGCCAGGCAGGCGCTCCACCCCGGAGCTACGGCCTCCTGCCAAATGGGGGGGGGGGATAAATGCTGGGGCACTCACTCCTCACTCTCATTCCTGATGCCCAGCCACTCGTTGATCTTCTTCTGGCGGGTCCCCTTCTGAGTCAGCCACCTAGGAGGGCAAGTGAAAGCAAAAACAAAAGTCGGAAAAATCCAAAGGGGTGAGGCTGCCCAGATATGCCCTCAGAGCCACCACCTGCCTCTCCTCTGCCCCAGATTTGAGGGACTAACTCTAGGTCTGGGTGAAGGAAAAGGAGAAGATCAACTCAGTAAAGCGAGATGACAAAACTCACAAGCCACAGAGCACAGCTGCATTTTATGCCAAGGTCCCTTTCAACCCTGGATCAAGTGTCATACTGATGGAATTTGAACTTGTTTGTTTTTGGAGGTCATGTCAGATCAGACCGATCCGCAGCCACCCATTCCACAGCCTTTTTACGGAGCATTTTTATGAAAAGCATATCCAAATTTGATGAGAGAAACACAATATTAAAAGGGTAACCCCATCTTTTTTTAAAAAGTAGCAGATCCAAGAGCGATTTTTAAAAGGATTGAGACAAAAAACATTTCTACGCAATGTTTGCAGCATGTAAACTGATGCAATTGACAGAATGGAATGACGTAAGCCTCTTTTGGATCCTCCGGGGAAGGGGGGGGGAGAAAGGGGAGTGTAAATGAAGTCGACAAACACACCCACTGCAAAGCTCCAGGCCCCTGTGGGTGTGGCAGCAAGAGGAGTTCCAGGCATGGCCACCGGAGGGCAGGATTCCTCCACCGCCAAACAAGCGAGGCCTGCTTTGCAGGACTGGCTGGCACAAAGGGCACCCACCACCCACACACACTTACACCAGATACTGGTCCCGCAGTTTGCGCAGCTGCAGCAGATCGGGCTTGAGACTGTTCATGCGCTTGTCGATCTCGCGGTTCTCGGAGGCCTGCTGCTTGAGGTCCTGCTGCAGCTTCCTCTTGCTGTCGTGGATCTCGGAGACGCGGGACTTCAGCTTCTCCGAGTTCATCAGGATCCTGGGTCAAGAAGACGCGTTGGGGGGGGAGGGCGTCACAGGATGGCGCCCGGTGGTCCCCAAGGCTTTACGCTGCCCTCCTCGCCCCCTCCCCTGCTTCCCGGCCCCCTCGCCCCCCCCTCACCGCTGCAGCTCCTTGTCGTTCCCCTCCCTCCGGAACCGCTCGATATACTCCCGGCTGCACTTCTCCTGGATCTGACACTGCTCCTCGAAGATCTTGATGGTCTCGTTGAAGGCCTCGATGGCCGTCCTCTTCATCTGCAGCTCCTGGGGGGAGACCGTTCCGAGTGAGCCCATGACCGTTCCGAGTGATCCACCCCGGGTCAGTTTGCGGAGCACGATGGGCCACGTCCCCTTCTGTTGCAAGGGGCCGGAAGGAGGTCCCGTTGGCCCCAGGCATCGGAAAGCAGGGTGGGGGGGTCCCGCTGTCTGCAAGCCTGTAGGAGCGGCTCCTCCTTTAACCTCCCACCCCAGTGACTGGCCAGCTGCCCCCGGAAGGCCCGCCGGCTGGGGTGCAGAAGCCAGAGAGCCTTCGTTCAGCCTCCGAACAGGATGGAGCTGGGCGGCCGTCCCAGCTATCGACAGACCCTGAATGTATCTCACTCCCTGATAAGAAACAGAGCCATCTCAGCCGGTACAACCCGGTCGCGGTGAGTTCCGCAAGCCGAGCGTCACGCCAGGTGAAGAAGCACGCCCTTTTGTCCGACCTGGGCCTTTGGCCCATCAGCCACATGGTGAGAGGGAGAGACCCGTTCCGGGCTCCCGTGTTCTTCCCTCCCCTGCACGGGACCCCGTTACCTGCGAGGTGCGCGTGTACTCCTCGTAGAGAAGGTCGTACTCGCGGCTCTTGTCCTGGTACTGCTGGTGGTAGACCTTCAGCTGCTCCCCCACGGCCTCCACGCTGTCCTCCTTCACCACCTGGTCCTGAAGGAGAGGAGGCAGTGGCAGGGAGGCTCAGCCAGGGAGCCTCTGCCCGGGACACCCCCTCCCACGCTGCTTCAGTCCCCACGGGCTCCCTGCCGCTGTCGTGGCTGGTATTCTGCCAGGTCCAAAACCTCCAGGGCGGTCCCAAGAAGCACAGCAAGCGGGGTCAGTCCGAGCACTGCCCGGGGGCAGACTGCAGCTCTTTCCCCCCCAAGGCTCCAGCTGCCCGTTGCAGCTTATACTGCCAAGTACAGAAGAACTGGTGAGCTGTGCCAGACCCCCCCCGCCCCCCCAAAAAAACCTGTGCAAAAAGACGCTAAGAAGAAATATAGAACAATTATTGAAAACGTATCGGTATAAATACTGGTTTCACCTGTGGGGTTTTTGTAAACACGGCATCTGTTGTATTATTGAGGAATTGTAGACTTACCTGTTGGACTTCTGGGAAAAAATTAGGATCTACCAGTTGAATTTTTGTAAATACTACTTAAGTGGTATTCTTAGTTGTATTCCTACAAGTTATACTTGTGTTAAAAGGTAAAGGTTCCCTTGCTCGAAAGCCAGTCGAGTCCGTCTCTAGGGTTGCGGTGCTCATCTCCGTTTCAAAGCCGAAGAGAGCCAGCGCTGTCCGAAGACATTTCCGTCGTCATGTGGCCGGCATGACTAAACACCAATAGGTTTAGATAAATAGGTACCTGTTTATCTACTTGCAATTTCTTGCTTTCGAACTGCTAGGTTGGCAGTAGCTGGAACTAGAGACGGGAGGTCACTCCATCATGCGGCACACCCGGGTCTCGAACTGCCGAACTACCGACCTTCCACAGCCTGCAGTTCAGCGTCTTAACCACTTATTATTACTAGTAGTAGTAAATTATTATTAGTAAATTGTTTTTAGCGTCTTTCTGCACAGGTTTTCTTTTTTAACCTTTTCATGTTTACTGTGTAATCGCCGACTGAGCTGTGCCAGGCCACACTTCCATTGGGTCCGCTCTCCCGCTTGCGCGTGTGGCTGGCTGGATGCCCTCGGGAGCCCACGAGCAGGGTGGCAGCAGCCAGGGACGGGCTCCATCAGCTGCTGTAACATCCTGCCCCGAACCATGTCTGGCCGGCCGGCCCGGGACACGGCGGGGAGGGGCTCACCTGCTGGGACTTGGAGACGGGGTACAGCAGCCGCGTGTCCAGCTTGGCGTTGTACTGGGCCAGAGACTCGTGCCGGTAGTGGCTGATGAGTTCCACCACGGAGCCGAAGGTCAGCGGCTCCGAGAAGCCGTACTGGCCCTCCCGATGGAAGATCTTGATCAGCTTGTTGTTGCCCCCTTTCCTGCGAGGGGGAAGGTGGAAGGAAGCATCAGGTGGGGGGCTCTGTGGGTCCGGCGACCCTCTGCCTGCAGGTCCTCAAGGGGAGGGCAGGATGGAGATGGGAGGGAGGGGGTGTGGTGGGGAGAAAAGGCCGGTGCCGCAAAGCCCATCGACAGGGACCGGGAGAGGGGTGGATTCTTCTGAGGGGTCCCCCCCCCCCACTGCCAACCCCCTCGCGTCCCCCCCCCCCGCTTCCCTCACCGCAGCGTCAGAGTGTATTCGCCCTGGATCTTGCTGGATGCATCCCGGACAAGGAACGTCCCATCGGGAGTGTCTCGGAGCTTCTCGTTCACTTCCTCCCTGGAAGGAGTCGGGGGCTCACTGCCGTGCCTGCGACTGGGTGCTCATGGCTGCAGTCAGCCCCCAAGGGCCTGAGCAACAAAGCTGCCGGCAAGCTGGCCAATCCCTTCCCTTCCTCGCCAACCCTCACCCCGAGGCCACCCTGAGGATAGAGGGCAGAGTAAAGGCGCCCCTCCGGCTGCCCAACTGGGCCACAGCGGTGAAGGTGAGAGACCCGGTGCCAGAAGCACACGAGACACGCCTTCCCCCCACCCAGCCTCACTTGCGCAAGCTCCAAGGACTCTGCTGGCCCTCAAAGCACAGCTCCGGTTCCACGTTACCTGGAGATGTCGCCCCAGTACCACTCGGCATCCTGCAGAGTCACACCATTCCCATTGGCCAGGACTGCTGCCGTCGGCTTGGGCTTGGGGGGCTTGGGGGGCAGCGCTGGAAGACATCAAGGGAACGAGGGCAGTCTACAGCTTCAAAGGGGGCCAGGGGAGATCCCCCTAACCTTAAAACAGGCACCGAACAGTGACCCATTTCCCCAGGGTGGCCCGGGGTAGAGCTGTAAAATTTCTGGAAATTTTGAAGCTCGGGAAAAAAACGGAATTTTTTGGAAAAATTGAAAAAAATGCTACTTTAGCACTTCTTTTTTCTTTTCCAGATTGAAAGTCATTCTGTTACTTTAGGAACATAAAATATGACTATGGACATTTTTACTTGGCATGAAATTACCACAACTAGCCTATTAAAAATATAGTGTATCCAAACAATTATTACAAACAGAATACCCACCCACATGCAAAAACAAAACTGAAACCTTTTTCTTTTCTTGTGACAATAGCACCTCCTAAAGGAAGAAATGCATCTTGTTCTTGCATTGGAGAGTTCAGTTTGTAACCTAGGACTTGCTTGTCCTCAGTGCACAGAAATTAGATCAATCTGATACCATACATATTTTTTAGAAATGATTTGGAAAATAGTTGAACACCTTGTCTTAAAATACCTTTTATTCATCATGTTAAAATAAAACGTTCCATAATCAAATTTTTTTCTTTTCTTTTTTCATTTTTTCCAATTTTTCGTAAAAAAACAAAAAAGGCTTCAGGAAAAAAACAGGGGGGGGGGGGAGAGAATGTTTTTTTCCTTAATTTTTGGGGTTTTTTTCCCGGGCCTTCACATCTCTAGCCCGGGGGCTGGTCTCTGCTCCCCCCCCCCTTCTACCTGTGTCTGTATATCCCGCTTTGCTCAGCCTCCCGCCTTGGTCCCCTTACCTGGAGGGGGCTGCTCCAGCCTGGGCTCCGTGGTCTGCAGAAGAGCCTCCAGGAAGAGCACGGAGAAGTCGGGGCCCGTCTCGGTGCTGCGGGGGAAAGCGACATGAACGTAGACATGCGGCCCCGGAAGAGCCACGGCCTCACCGCCTCAACCCAGTGTGAAGGGGGCTTGATAACGAAGCCCCAAGGAAGCCCCCCCCCGAATCCCACGGGCCGTCTTGACAAGTCTACTGCCCAGCCCCCCCCCCAACGGTGCAAACAGGCCTGTGCAGAGGAAAAGAGGCAGTGGGCTCTCAACCAGGCCCCCCCCATGAGGGGCTGCCTCCCTGTGCAGAGCTCTGAGATGGGAGCAACCGGAACGCACACTCCCCAGAGCCACACGGCCAGACATCGGGGTGCTGGGATCCAGTGGAGATATTTCTGCCCGGCAGCGCCTCCTCTCGAGCCAGGCGTGATGCCTCCCCAAGCGAGGTCCACCCCACCCCTACCCCCTGGCCGGGGCCTGTCCCGCTGAGAGGGAGCGAAGCCTTCACGGTACTCTGCCCCTCCCCCGAGGAATGGCTCTGGGAGGCCCCTCCGAGGGAGGGAGGGGGGGAGTCAAGGAGGCAGGGCAGGGTCCCGCACCTGGCCCCAGCAGGCCGCCGAAGGAGCAGGGGACCGAAGATCTCGCCCAGGGCCCAGGGCCGCAGCCCGTTGCTCTCCGCTTGCTCGGCCACTTTCGCCCAGTGGCGCAGGAGGAACTGGAGGGTGAGGAGATGGGGCAGCGGCAGGCTGGGGGGCTCCAGCACAGACAGCAGCTGCGCCCGGTCGCGCTCCGGCTGGCTGGCATCTGCAGAGGGGAGAACGGGAGGGGGATCACTTTCCGGAGGACTAACCGGCCCGCCTCGCCTCCCGACGTCCTCCCATCGTGACCCGGGAGGACGCCAGCACCTCCCACGGAATCAGGCCCCTCAAGGTCAGGCTTGTCTCCCAGGGACCTTCTGCGGGCTGAGCAGGCGCTCCCCCCCCCGAGCCGCCACCCCCACCCGCCTCCTTTCCAAGGCTCCTGCCCCCCCTCACCCTGCAGCACCCGCAGGATCTCGCCGTGGACTCTGTCGGGCACCACTGGGGTCGGCAGCTCTTGCAGGTATCCCTTGAGGGCTTCGCCGAGGGACAGCACGTCGTACGCCTCCAAGTCGCCAGCCGCTGCCCAGTCTGGAGGGGCAGAAACGGGATGGGGGGGCCCCCGCAGAGTAAGCAGCGGAACTGGGCAGGAAGCGACTCCAGGCCTACGAGGCTCCGGCTTTGAGGTCTCCCAAGAGGGTCAGCCAGACAAGTGGGTCTTGAGAGGGGGGAGACGGCTTTGCCTGGGCCACAAACTCAGAAGGCGGCCCCTCCACCCACTTGGCCGGATGATTGTGCGTAAGAGAGGGGGCACCCAGCCTGGACAGCCGACAAAAGAAGAAGAGGAGGAGGAGGAGGAGGAGATTGGATTTATACCCCACCCTTCACTACCCAAGGGGGTCTCAGAGCGGCTTACAAACTCCTTTCCCTTCCCCTCCCCACAACAGACACCCTGTGAGGTAGGTCCTGGGGCTGAGAGAGCTCTGACAGAAACGGCTCTTTTTCAAGAACAGCTCTTGTCAGAACTATGGCTTGCCCAAGGTCATCCAGCAGGTGCAAGTGGAAGAGTGGGGAATCAAGCCCGGTTCTCCCAGATTAGAGTCCGCGCACTTCACCACTACACCAAACTGGTCTCACAGCAGCTTACTGTTGCCTTTCCCTTCCTCTCCCCACAACAGGCACCCTGTGAGGTAGGTGGGGCTGAGAGAGCTCTGACAGAAACTGCTCTTTTTCAAGAAGGAGGAGGAGAAGGAGGAGGAGGAGGAGATTGGATTTATACCCCGCTCTTCACTACCCAAGGGAGTCTCAGAGTGGCTTACAAACTCCTTTCCCTTCCCCTCCCCACAACAGACACCCTGTGAGGTAGGTGGGGCTGAGAGAGCTCTGACAGAAACTGCTCTTTTTCAAGAACAGCTCTTGTCAGAACTATGACTTGCCCAAGGTCATCCAGCAGGTGCAAGTGGAGGAGTGGGGAATCAAACCCGGTTCTCCCAGATTAGAGTCCGCGCACTTCACCACTACACCAAACTGGCTCTCGACGACTGGAGAGTCAGCACGTTGTAATGGTCAGAGGGTTGGACCAGGACCCGGGAGAACCAGGTTCAAATCCCCACTCTGCCACAGAAACTCACTGGGTGACCTTGGGCCAGTCCCACATCCTCAGCCTAAATTACCTCACAGGGCTGTTGTTGTGAACATTAAATGGAGGAAAGGAGAATTACGTAAGCCACCTCAGGTTCTCACTGGGGAGGCAGATGTAGCATAAATGAAGCACATAAACAAATAAATACTATGGCGGTGATTAGCCGAGAATTCCCCAAACAAAAGTGATCCATTTCCCATCAACTGGATGTTTGCCGAGCAGGAAACGAGACCACGACTGAGCACACAGGCACCACTCACCTGTGAAACTCACGGTCACATGATGTGGTCATGGTCCCATTCAAATAAAATGGGATTGGCCACTTTAGAGACTGACGAATGGGCTTCAGATGGTCAGCTGTGCTAGTCTGAAGCAGCAGAACCAATGTAGAGTCCAGTCAGGCAGCTTTAAGACCAACAAAGGTTTAGTCCAAGTATGAGCTTCCGTGTGCAGGCACACTTCTTCAGATACAACGGAATAGAAGGTGGAGTTCAAACGTATAGACAGGCTGAACAGCAAATTCACATGTAACATGATGAAGGTGTTTTAAGTGGTGCAATCCCAAAACTAAATAATCAGCTAAGGTTATAAGGTCAACAGCTGTTTTGATTTCATTGGGGGGGGGACACCAAAGCATTTAATATATGTCAAAATACGGGATAAGTGTGTAAAAGGCATCTTTTCTAATTGTGGGAAGTAAACTGAGACCATTCATCTCCTCTCAGACATGGAGGTAACTTAGCAGCATTTCTTTAAAAAACGGGTGTAGTGGTATGTCAGCAAAACATCCCAATATTCCTTGCATTACATTCAGTATTCTAATATTGTTGTTGTTCAGACGCACAGTCGAGTCCGACTCTTCGTGACCCCGTGGACCAGATCACGCCAGGCCTTCCTGTCTTCCGCCGTCCTCTGAAGTTTGCTCAATTTCATGTTCGTTGCATCGATGACACTGTCTAACCATCTCATCCTTTGCCGTCCCCGTCTTCTTTGACCTTCAATCTTTCCCAGCATCAGGGTCTTCTCCAGTGAGTGCTCCCTTCTCATTTGGTGGCCAAAGTATTTGAGCTTCAGTTTCATTATCTGGCCTTCCAGGGAACAGTCAGGGTTCTATATTCTAAGTCTAATATATTATTCTGAAAAAGAAATACACTAAAATACAGAGGATGTATAGTCCTTATAAATCCTCTGTATTTTAGCGTATTTCTTTTTCACAATAGTATATTAGAATACTTATACATCCTCTGTATTACATGTCAATTTGCTGTTCAGCCTGTCTATTAGTCTGAACTCTGCCTTCCATCCCAGTGTATTTGGAAAAGTGTGCCTGCACACAAGAGCTCACACCTTGAGTAAGAACATAAGAACATAAGAGATGCCAATGTTGGATCAGGCCAAAGGCCCATCCAGTCCAACACTCTGTATCACACAGTGGCCAGAAATACCAGTGCCATCAGGAGGTCCAGCAGTGGGGCCAGGACACTAGAAGCCCTCCCACTGTTGACCCCCCCCCAAGCACCAAGAATACAGAGCATCACTTGCCCCAGAGCCCCTAATAGCCACTGATGGACCTCTGCTCCATATGCTTATCTAATTCCCTTTTGAAGACATCCATGCTTGTAGCCGCCACCACTTCCTGTGGCAGTGAATTTCAAGTGTTAATCACTCTTTGGGTGAAGAAGTACTTCCTCTTATCCGTTCTAACCCGACCGCTCAGCAAGTAAACCTTCGTTGGTTTTAAAGGTGCCCGACTGGACTCTAAATTTGTTTGACAAACGGGTGTCAGCCCTGATACAGAATGAGAGCCTCTGCATGCCAAGGCAGTGCCCCCAGCGCCTCGTGGGCACCAGACAGAAATGGCATCCTTGCCCTCAGCGCAATCAAATACGGCAGCAATGAACACGGCCAATTTTTAAAAATACGTCATTCCCCCCGAGAACTCACGACCGCTGGCCTCCCTGGCACTAGAAACAAACAGGAGTGATGCCAAAGGGCTCAGGGCGAGGCAGGGCTCCTTCCTTCAACTCCATTCCGCTCTGGCCTCCTGCCTTGCCCAGAATTGTTTACTCTGGCCAGCGGTGGCTCTCCGAGGCCCCTGGCCAAGAAAGGTCTTCCCTGACACCTCTGCAAATCGATCAACATTTAAAATGCACACTTACTCCAAACCACAAAGGCTGCTCCCTCCCTCCCTCTTCCAACTCTCTCCTCTCATCCCCAAGGTGGGGCAGCTGAAGCCATCAGGAACTCCCTCATCACAGAATCCCATTGGGGAGGGCGGGATACAAATATGAAAAATAAATAAATAAATATAAATCACAGAACTGGAAGGGACCTCCAAGGTCATCTAGTCCAACCCCTGCACAATGCAGGAAATTCACAAATACCCCCACACACACACCCCCGCAGTGACTGCTGTTCCACGCCCAGAAGATGACAACAAACCTCCAGGATCCCTGGCCAAACTGGTCTGGAGAAAAATTGCTTCCTGACCCCAGAGTGGCAATCAGCATTTCCGTGGGCATGTAAGAAAGGGCCACAAGAACTAAGCACTGAGGCAACCATTCCTGCCCTCCCTCTCATGATCTGCCTCAGTTCACACAATCAGCATTCTGTGTCTAGCCTCTGTCTGAAAACCTCCAAAGAAGGAGAGCCCACCACTTCCCAAGGAAGCCTGTTCCACTAAGGAACCCCTCTGACTGTCAGGAAGTTCCTCCTAATGTTTAGCTGAAAACTCTTCGGATTTAATTTCAACCTGTTGGTTTTGGTCCGGCCTTCTGGGGCAACAGAAAACATCTCCATACCATCCTCTATATGACAGCCCATCAAGTTCATGAAGATGGTTATCATATCACCTCTCAGTCGTCTCCTCTCCAGGCTAAACATACCCAGCTCCTTCAACCTTTCCTCATAGGGCTTGGTCTCCAGACCCCTCACCATCTTCACTGCCCTCCTCTGGACACGTTCCAGCTTGTCTAGATCCTTCTTAAACTGTGGTG